TCACACACACACATACACACACATCACACACACGTAGCATATATAAGACAACCATGACAAGATGATTTTAGTGTGGTAGCAACGCATGAAGAGGACTAACGGATTGCGGCTGCGTCTCGCCACTGAGGCCCCAGTTTTCGCCAAACTCATCGCTGGTGTTGCCGCCGATCACCACCTTCCTCGACAGGTCCACCAGCGGGTTGTGCTGCGTACAGTCCACGTCCACCAGCGATCCAGTGGCCCCTTGCAACGGTTCCATCGAAGCAGTGCCGCCCGATGCTCCTGCAAGATCGATTCACTTCAGACATTGACGCTTAACGTATCGTTCAGAGAACCCCAGCAAACGAACGTGTTAACATACGCATCACGGAAGCAACATAACCACGACAAGCGCCTTTTCACAGTGGCCTTACTACAACCTGTATTAAACGGATTCACCGTACGCAGACCGAGCGACCAAAGGCACGACCCCGAACGAGGCGATACCCAGGGCTATCCAGGAATTTCATCAACAATTCGAGAGCACATCTTCTACAACAGATACAAAAGACATCGTCAATCTGAAGACTTCACAGAACCTGAAGGGCCACGTCGGCGCGAGAGCTGCTCGAAGCCGGGCTCACTTCACCAACAACAACGCAAGAGCCCAAAGAACCACATCAACAACTGCTCATCCGCAGCTCGAATTAAAAACAAAACGAGAAGCCTGGAATGGAGTGGCCAATATTAGGGAGCCGATCTGGAAGACCTCTCATGCGCGATCTCCTGCCTCGATCCCCCAATAAGATGGGCCCGATGTAGGAAGAAGTAAAATGCGCGTAACTTCACCCAATCACCTCATCTCGATGCTTCCTCTTAATTAGGGACAACTACTGAACCTCAGTTAAGCTTGGCCGCGCAATATGCGTCCGATCTCAGTTCCGGTTCGCGTTGCGAGGGCCGTGATACCGCTCTCTTGTCTAGATAAGTGTAGAATTCAACAGTGATAGCTTTCTTTCAGCATCAAGTTTCAGACTGGGCATAAAAAGACCCGCGTAGTCCTTCCCTCCCCCTTCTCCTCCGCTTCCCCCCTCCTCCCTCCCCTCCCGCCGTGAGCCCTGTCTCTGTTCTCAGTTCCTACCTTTAAGCTTGGACCATCATTCTCTACGCCCCCCCCCCCC